CTTGACTCAATTATCTGTCTCTATAGCTACCTATCTGCAATCATTGGAGAAGAGATGCTATATTTGTTATAAAATAGTGCACACAGCAGAAATCTCAACATAAAGCAGCTGAAGCTACCTACAAAGATGGTGCTAGTAAGGAACAAAAACAAAGTGACTGTCACTATGGATTTCATTGCCAGAAGAAATATAATCAAGAAAACACTTGAGATTCAGCACAAGAAGGAAGTGCCATTTCCATGATCAATCAGTGCATGACTAATGGTAAGCTCAAGTTAGCAAATGTATTGACAATGCATGACAATGATTGGACAGTGAGAAAGTTTTTCATAGCAAAAATAAAAGTGGATACACCATATTATGTGGGAGACCTTGAGGCCATGTGTATGAAAGCAACCACTTGGTGATTGGCAACATGCCAGGCAGTAGAAGATTGGACCAGCCAGACAGAATGAAGAATAATGAAGCATCTGTAGTCACCACTAGAACTCAAGACCACAAGCCCCTACAAGTGCTGAAAGGCAACATCCCAAATGTAGGTTTGCAGGAAGCACCAAAGAAAGACCATTCACTGCAGAAACTTTGGGACAATGCCTGGGAGAAAGTTGAACACAAGATAAAGGGGAAATATACTTACAGAATAGAGAACAAGAAGGCAATGTTGTACTGGGTTTATCAAGGCAATTATACTGGGGAAGTTAAGCAGATAATAGTACCAACAGAATACCAAACACAAGTGATGAAGTTGGCTCACAAGTCGATTAAGAGAGGACACCTAGGAGCAAAGAAGATGGCAGACAGAATCACTAGCAACTTCCATTGGCCAGGGTCGTCCGAGATGTGAACAGATTCTGCAGGTCATGTGATATCTGCCAAAGAACAATACCTAGATGGAAGGTAGCCAAGGTGCCATTGGGTGAGATGCCTCTTATAGAATAGTCATTCAGTAGAGTAGCTGTGGATTTGATCAGACCACTAGCACCTGTATCTGACAAAGGCAACTGGTATGTGCCAACAGTAGTCGACTATGTGACATGACATCCAGAAGCCATAGCACTGCCGAGGATAGCGACAGAGAGAGTGGCAGGAGCCCTCCTGGAAGTGTTCTGCAGAGTAGGCTTTCTGAAAAAAGCCCTGAGAGACAAAGGGACTTCAGTACTTATGCAAGAGGTGTGCAGCTCTTTACCCTTCCTTACAACCCTAGATGTAATGGACTTAGTGAAAGAATCAAAGGAGTCTTAAAGAGCATTCTAAAAAAGATGTGCCATAAGAGACCTCGTGACTTGCTGGCAGTATTATTTGCTTGTTGATAAGCCCCACAAGCAAGTACAGGATTTTCACCCTTTTAATTACTGTATGGAAGAACAGTACGAGGTCTGACGAAGATACTGAAAGAGCTATGGACAGGAGAAGATGGGTCAGAAGTCGCATAGCACTATCTATTAGACCTAAGAAACCGACTGGAGAAGATTTATCAACTCTCTTGAGAGAGCTTGTATGCAGCTCAAGGCAGTTTGAAACATTTCTATGACAAGAAGGTTACAGACTGACGTTTCAAGGCTGGACAGAAGATCTTAGTTATCTTGCTCACAGACAACAACAAACTCACCCTGCAGTGGTAAGGACCTTTTGAAGTACAGGAAGTACTCAACAGAATGTGAATGAGAAGACCAAGATCTACTTTGACAATCTGTTAGAGTATTTTAGGAGAGAAGAAGACTTAATAGGTGCAACTATTGAAACAGAGGTGGATGTTACAGGTGTGGCCATCATAGATGCAGAACCAGAAGACAGCAACTTTGTCTTAAAAAATAAGAACCTACTAGAACTAAGACCCTGGGTGGAGATGAGACATGCAAAGATGTCAACATCAGTGAAGAACTGACTGGCAAGCAGAAGAAAGAGCTATGAGATCTACCATGCCAGTATGCAGATATCTTCATGGATAGACCAGGAAAAACAGACGAGCAAAACCACAATCAGAGATCTTGTCAAGGTGAAGCCCTATCAGATGTCTTATGCAATGAGAGACCTGATAAAGTAGAAACTTGAGGCAATGTTAGAAGCTGGAAAGATTGAACCTTCAAATTCAGCCTACTATTCACCAGTGGTAATTGTGAAGAAGAGGGATGAATCAAACCGTTTTTGCATAGACTTCCAGAAGCTGAACCTCGTAACGAATGAACTGTAAGGTGAAAGTGAACGAGAAGACCAAGATCTACCATGCCAGAGGCTATTATGCCAAAACAAGATGGGGCTTGTTTGTTTTTCAAAAATCGACATTAGTAAAGATTATTGGCAGATCCCGATGGAGGCGTGATATAAAGAGAAGATGGCATGTGTGACACCAATGGATGTTACCAATTTAAGAGGATGCCATTTGGGTTAATCAACTCAACAGCAACATTCAGCCTTATGATGAGGAGGATGTTGCACAACACCATCAACATCTAGCATAATGTGGATGACATTCTGACACACACTGCAGGATGGGAAAACCACCTGAAGAAACATAGAGAGCTGTTCGGGAGAGTGAAGGCAGCAGGTCTGAATCCAAGTGTTACATCAGTTATTTTGTGCTGAACTTTGTTGAACATAAGGTGGATGACTGACAGATAGCCAAGGAAGAGGAGAAGCTAGCATGCATACAAGATACACCAGCTTTAATGACCAAGAAGCAAGTCATATCTTTCCTGGGGTTTGTGGGATACTATAGGAAGTTCTTCCCCAAAGTATGCTGAAGTCACTGCCCACTAACTTCCCTGATCAAGAAAAATTAACCCAACAAGGGGAAGTGGGAACAACCACAGCAGTTGGCAGAAGTTGAAGAACATGCTAGGAAGTCCACCAATCCTTAGAATACCAGACTTCAACATACCACTCATCATTCAGGCCAATGCATCAGACATTGGAATTGGAGCAGTACTTCTGCAAGAACAAGAAGGTGGACTGCTTCCGTTAATGTATATCAGTAAAAAGCTGTTTAGTAGTGAGAATTACTCTGTGTTTG